ACTCCAGAAGCAAGATCGATCATGTCTAGCTTCAATGATTCTTGTTGATCAAATATCTCAAACACTTGTTTGAGATTCGAATCACTCCACAAGCAAGATTGATCATGTCGAGCTTGAATGATTCTACATGCAATCTAAACTACATAGAATTGCAAAGAAACTTAGCCATCGGCTAAAGAAAAGCACAAATGCTTCTTTTGATATATCTTCTAAGTCTTATTACAAATACAACATAGATGGCTTTATATAGCCTCAAAATGAAAGGCATTCCAAAAGTTGTAACATTCACACTTTATGGCCATAATTAGCCATTATGTAAATGTAACCGAAATTAAATAAAAAGTCATAAAACACAATAACTCTAAATTATAACCCACCCAAAATTTACAACAATCAAACTTTATTCTTCTTCAATGTAGCATGAATTGAAACATCTTTTGATTATTTTGATAACCTTTTCTCCACATCTTCATTGAAGCATATTGTATGATTGATGTCTCTTGGTTCATATCATTCTCCACTTCTTCAAGAGGATTCGTCCTCGAATCTATTTGTGAAACTTTGCTGCAAAAAATAAGTTATGGAAATACGAAGGACCTCACAACACTCTCTCACGTGTATACACTCAAGGAATTTTAGGCCACTCTGTTTGCACTCATTTACACAAATGAAGCTCTCATTCTCACCTCTCAAAATTTTAAATAGAGCAAAGATTGAATTTTGATTACTTTGGGTCGATTAAAAACTAAAAAGATGAAAATAAATAAAAAAAATTGAGAAGAAACGCAAAGGAAACATATATCCGATCTTGAGCCTGAAGCTCTGATACCAAATGATAAGATAAGGAATCAATACAAGGGGAATAAGATTCGGATTACCTTGTCGATCGAATATCTCAAGCCAAGAACACTTTGTTTGAGATTCGAATCACTCCAGAAGCAAGATCGATCATGTCTAGCTTCAATGATTCTTGTTGATCAAATATCTCAAACACTTGTTTGAGATTCGAATCACTCCACAAGCAAGATTGATCATGTCGAGCTTGAATGATTCTACATGCAATCTAAACTACATAGAATTGCAAAGAAACTTAGCCATCGGCTAAAGAAAAGCACAAATGCTTCTTTTGATATATCTTCTAAGTCTTATTACAAATACAACATAGATGGCTTTATATAGCCTCAAAATGAAAGGCATTCCAAAAGTTGTAACATTCACACTTTATGGCCATAATTAGCCATTATGTAAATGTAACCGAAATTAAATAAAAAGTCATAAAACACAATAACTCTAAATTATAACCCACCCAAAATTTACAACAATCAAACTTTATTCTTCTTCAATGTAGCATGAATTGAAACATCTTTTGATTATTTTGATAACCTTTTCTCCACATCTTCATTGAAGCATATTGTATGATTGATGTCTCTTGGTTCATATCACGCCGCAAAAAGGAGAGAGAGAAAGCTTGCCACAAAATCGACCGAAGTCGGGTAAGGAAGACGAGACCCACGGATCCGGGTCAACCTGAACCCAGAACCCGAGAGGGTCAGCCCATTCTTTCCTCGGCCTCTGCCTTCGGACCAGCCCAACTGCAGCGGCCCAAACCTCAGACCAGCCCAGAAGTTACGGTTCAATTGAACCAACCCGAGACCAGACCCACGGTCCAATCAAGCCGGCCTGCAACCCAAAATAAAAAAACTTTCGGCCAAGTCAATAAGCCGAGGCTCAACTGTAGTCTTGGCCCAGTAGCCTCCGCAGCCCGCGACCCGAACCGAACTGCGACCTGCGCTTCGACCCGACACTACTGCGCGATGTGGCTCACTCTGCTGCTGCCACGTGTCACATAGCGACGCAGGCGGTCCCTCGGCTCGGCTCGGGCTCCCTCCAACGATGCTCCGGTGGCTTCCAGCAGTTGTTCGGCTCGGCTCACCTGTTTTCAGCCCGGTTTCCACTGTTCCAACCCTCCCGGATTTGTTTTCAGCCTCGATTAAGGTATCCGAGGCCGTTTTAGAGCCGTATTTCACATTTATTAAATTATAGGTAAATCAATTGTGAAATACTAACGGAAAGTGGTGAACGGTGTGATAGGAAACAAACTCCGACGACGTAGGAAGCAGCTCTCACGGAACGGGAGCTTACGTTTAGCTATTTAGGGAGTACTTTGGCCAAGGCCAACCAAGTAAGTGGCCTTACTATAGGATAAGCTAAATAAATTGTATGAGTTATGATGATGTGTGGATTATGATGCTCGATGATATGTGCAGTATATACATATTTTGTTGAGTGACGCTTGATATGTTTGACGCACGTTGTGGCATTATGATGAGCATGATGATTGCATGATTTTTACCTTAATATGATGATGTTTTCCATATTGAGCATGCTAGATGATGATGAGTGCCATATTGCATCATGACGTTAGATCGACGTAGGACACAACCCTAAGAGCATGAAAATGATATTAATATAAATATCCATGAGTATGCGTTACCTAGAGTAACAAAGAGATGAGACTAGAGAGTTGTGTCAGAAGAGACATTACGATGGATTTAGAGGGACCTCATGCATTTTGTATGTTCATAAGCATAGGGCTACTTTCCCTAGAGATGATGAGTGCGGACGCGCACCTTATAATGAGCGCGAATGCGCACAGGTGCGAAAGCACACAGATGAGGGTGTTCATGAGGCGCATGACACTATGGGGTTCCACTGACCTCCGAACGTCGCTACAGATTAGCTTGACCAAAGGGTCCAGGGGGTATGCGAGCACCCTGGGGACTCACACTCGCACATGTGAGTCGTGTGTAGGGAAGTACTACACATCCAATTTGTCTGAGACTGAAGGCCACCTCTAAGATGATTAGAGATAGGTCCCTATTCATGATTGCATGTGTTTGCATTAGCATGACCCCTATAGTGGAGTCACTTACTGAGTATTTCTCGAAATACTCAGGCCGTGTGCCATATTGTTTTCCAGGTAAAGGCAAGGCTCCCATGTACGGTTGACGGTGGCATCGTGATCAGAGACTGTGGCGCATGCATAAGATAGTTGCATATTTAAAATTCCTAGTCTTGGTTAGGATAGGGCGTTTGCATTTCATTCATTTATATTAATTAATTTGTAATCGTTTTATTTTATCTTTTGAACTCAAGCACGATGTTTGAAACACGTAAGTTCGGCAATGTTTTCCAATGTTTAAATGAATTCTGAAGTTTTAAATTTTTCCGCTAATAAAGATGAGCATTCTTAGATTTTTATTCTGCATTAGAGATGAGCATGAGACGTTAGTGGCGACTCTAGATATGTAGAAATTTAGGGTCGTTATAGCAGGTGTCTTTGGGTGGCTCTAGGTCGGGATCGAGTTTCCTTGGTGACCGAGACTTTGACCGCCCTTTGTGGGTCGTATGTGAATGAAAACTCCAGCGTTCACCGAAGTTTTTCGATCCTGCCGACGACTTCGTTATTTTTTTATTTTTTTCTAATCTGTTACATTATCTACCCCTAAAAAGAACTTTCTTCCTCGAAAGTCTCAAACTCCTAGATCAACTCAGGATTTTTTTCCTTTATTTCCTCCTCTCGTTCCCACGTAGCTTCCTCGATTTGTGGTTACGCCACAATACCTTAATGAAACCTATGTTTCTATTACGTAAGACTTTCATTTCTCGGGATAGGATTTTAATCGGTTTCTCCTGATAACTTAAAGTTTCCTCGATTTCGAGAGGTTTACAGTCTATTACGTGCATAGGGTCTGCAATATATTTCCTTAACATGGACACATGAAACACATTGTGTACGCTCGAGAGGGAAGGATGTAAAGCAAGTTTGTAAGCTACTGAACCTATTCTTTCTAAAATTTTGAACGGTCCCATAAATCAGGGGCTTAGCTTCCCCTTTCGTCTGTATCTAAGAATACCTTTCATAGGAGCTACTTTTAGGAACACTAGGTCTCCCTCTTTGAACTCTAAGTTCCTACGCCTAACATCGGCGTAGCTCTTTTACCTACTCTATACGGTGCGCATCCTTACTCTAATTTTCTGTACTGCCTCGTTGGTGATGCCGACAAGCTCGAGTCCTACTAGTTCCCGTTCTCCTACTTCGTCCCAGCACAATGGGGATCTACACCGTTTTCCATACAATGCTTCAAAGGGTGCCATCCGGATGGTTGCTTGGAAACTGTTGTTGTAAGAGAATTCCATTAAGTGTAGTTTAGTGTCCCAACTCCCTATGAAATCCATAACACATGCCCGAAGCCTGTCTTCCAGGATATGGTTTAATCGTTCCAAACGAAGGGTACACCTTTTTCTGTCAATTGGGTGAGAAGCGTGGCTATTCTAGCAAAGTCTTGAACAACCCTTCGATACTAACCAGCCAATCCCAAAAAACTTCGTATCTCGGTGACCGTAGTTGGGCGTTTCCATTTTGTGACAGCTTCTATCTTGTTGGGATCTACTAAGATTCCGTCTTTAGACACTACGTGCCCCAAAAATGAAACCTGTCGTAGCCAAAATTCACACTTGGAGAATTTGGCATACAACTTTTTCTCCCTTAAGATAGTTAGGGCTTTGCGAAGGTGCTCTTGGTGTTCTAGGTCCGTTTTCAAGTATATGAGGATGTCATCTATGAACACGATCAGAAACGAGTCTAAGCACTCCTTAAGTACTTGGAAGATAAAAAAAATCGGAAGAAAATAGATCGAAATGTGAAAGAGGCTAACATTGGAAAATTGAAAACACACAGGGAGAGAGGGAGGAGACGTCGCCACGCGTCGACCAGCGTACAGAGGAGCGCAGCGGAACCAGTGATCAACACATGGCGATCACCGACTGATGAAGCGCATCCTCACCCGGCAGTAGACACGCGTTAGGCACACAGATCCAAGCCGGCACGACCCGACACTGCATGCGAACCGCTCCATCTGTAAACCACCCCGACCAGGCGCCTCTGACCCGCGACTACTTGGGAAGTCACGCGTGGGCACGCGCGTGTAGGATCTGTGCGTAGAAACCCTCTAGGGTGCGTGTGACACGCGTGTAGGCGCGCGAGTCACTGTTTTTCTTTTTGTTCGGTCTTTGTTTGCTTGTTTTCTTACCCGATTATGATACTGACCCTATTATTATGTGAATTAGGACCTGTCAAGAAAATTACAGAATTTTTGGAATCCTTTCCGTCAAGAAAACTTGAAGTCGGGAAGGCAGGCGTCAACCAAGTAAGTAGCCATTTGGATTCCCACGAGCAGTACTTGTAGGAACAAGCATGCTTGCTACCACCCATGAACTTAGCTAGCCGGACCTAGCATATTAGTATGGAAACTGCGAAAATGAAATGATTAAGGAAAGCTAGATATGAAATGTTTATTAAATCTGTTTTGATTGAGATTTTGATGAAGTATGTATGCATGAGGAGGATGGGAAACTTGCGAAATCTGCGCTCCGGGTGAAGATGGACATTATCTTCCCGTTGAGCATGTTTGTTAATATTGCATGAATTGTTGCGTGTGAACTCCTGTGCATGATGATTGCTTGTGTTATCTTTCTTGTTGAATAGGAAGGAATTATGAGCTAGAGTAGGGTGCTTGTGTTTAAGTAGGCTAGACGAGATCCTAGATTGGAACACCTCTAGAACACCTTGCATATAGACCTGCGAAATGACTACTGGCAGATCTAGAGCCCAGAATTCCAAACCCGATAGGTTTGTGAGACCAGGCACGAGAATCCTAGAGATGCATGAATCCAAGTCTAAGCCACCAAGTTCCACCCTAGAAAGGATAGTAGGACACCACGGTAACTGTAGGTAGCCCGCTAGAGTTAAGCAATGTGGGTAGTGTCATCAGAACCTCCACTTCCCTCTCTACTCTGATACCGCACCATCGAGACAGAGCTCCGGTACGAAGATCGTTGAGCTTGGCAGATCCGGATAGGGAAGTGTGATAGGTGCCCAAACCTAGTGGTGATAGCTAAGGGGTCTTCTGAACAGGACTCCTGGGGCATAGAAATCCGTTCTTGAGCGAGGGACGTGGAGCCACGTAGGATGACTTAGTAACTGACCGGCACACAGGGGGTCGCACCCTGAATTTAGTGGATGTATGGTCCCGTGAGAGGGTTGTCAGCTACCTCTACAGATGACGTTCAGATAGAGTCACGTATTCAGATCCAGCCATACGATCCCCTCAGATTTACTTATGAGGCCGTGCCTTACCTTAGGACATTAACCATTTCACTACATATGATGGGCAAGCTTTCTAAGATACAGAAAAGAGAGTTGTAGCTTAGATCACTCTCCTTCTCCTTAGAAACCTGAGAAAGACCATGGATACCTACCAAGAGAAGGATGCGAAAAGAGCCTACAAGTTGGCTACTTACTGAGTATTTTTATACTCATTCCTTTCTACTCTTTTTTTTTTTCTTAGGTGAGTGATGCCATGGTTCGAGGCGGAAATGCGTGTTGAATCTTAATGCACAGAGGAGTGTCCCGGGGGCATCTAGGAGTCTGTGCATATTTTAGTTTAGATCTGTCATGCATTGTTTTGTAAACCATTTACATACTTTTCATAAAACTCATATGCTACTCGAAAGCCTTGTTTGGATTTCAAACTTTCTACATAATTGCTAAAGTTTTTTTTTTTTTTTTTGTAATTTCGTCTTGTCCATTTGCTTTTACATGATTTCATTGCATAGTCTGTTGGTCCAGCCCTTGATTTTGAGATTCAAATTTCGGTTGTGACAGTTTGGTATGAGAGCATGGTTTTAGGTCCTGTAGACATTAGGTTGTAGAGTCTAGTATCTCTGTGGCTTAAGTTTCGACACGCCCGCCGTGACCTGGTAAGTTCTTTGATAATTGGGAAGTAGAAAGACTTAAGTTATATGTTGCGAGATCTAAGACGAGGATTAAAAAGAATAAGGAATGTGCTTCTTTTGAATTAGACACAATGAGAACGTAGTATTGACTCTCACTCCCCGTCTGTTGACAGATAATGGCACCTAAGAGAAGAGGGGATTATCTTGGGCCTGGCCCTAGGAGGGGCAGGAGAATGGTCGAAGAGGACCCAAGTTTCCCTATTCAAAAGTTTAATTTTATAATGACCAAGCAATAACAACATACACAATCAACGACATTTCATTTTCTTATCTTACGCAAGACATACCTGACGGAGACGGGGCACTGACGATAGGACCATGGAACATGCCAAGCCTACATCGTAGGCTAGTCTACAAGATCTATAACCTGGCTCTGATACCAACTGTAACGACCCGAAATTTTCTACTTAATTTAAGGTCGCTACTGTATACGTACCATAAACATTGAATGCGGAAGACTTCATTTAAATTCCATAAAACATAACCTTTAACTTAAAACACAGCCATGGACTTACGTGTTTCGAAGACATCTTTAAAACGACACAACAAAAGACTCGAAATAAAATAAATAAGCGTTTAAGTTTAAAACATCCTATTCTATCCTAAGTCTAAGAAAATAAATGTCACTATCCTATGCATGTGCCATGATCTCGAGTTGTGATGTCGTCGTCAGCTGTACAGGAATGCCTTGCCTTAAGCTGAAAAATGTAGTAGCACATGGCTTGAGTATTTAAAGAAATACTCAGTAAGTGACCCCACTATTAGGGTTAAATGCAACAATCACATGTAATGAAATGATGAGACCTATCTTTCGTTTCATTTCATTTCGTTTCGCTTCGGTGTAATCCTAACAGGTAATTGTGGACGTGTACCATATACTCTACATGCAGCCCATACGTGCGAGTATGGGCTCACCAGCTAATTCGCACACTGCTGGGCCACTGTCCCTAGCCAGTGGGCATGCTCTGGGAGCCTTTATATTGGGACCTGTTAAAACTAGAATCGTCACGACAACGCTATGCAAAGCATAACGATCGTTGTTCTGCCATTGGATGTACGCATCCGTACCCTCGTGATGGGATAGGGATATCCCCCCAAATGTATGAGCACACAATATGCATGAGGTCCCACTAGTCCTACAGTTATCATTAATATTAATGAACATAACCCCTGTCACGTTTTCATGCTTACATGTCATTCTCATTCTCATTTCTTTACATGTTATACATATTCCTAACGGGGTTATGTTTCATGCAATTTACCATATTTCATGCCATACAATTCATGCAGTTACATTCAAATATTCATACAAACAAGTCATAATCGTTCAAGGACCACACATTGTTTAATGCATTACATATCACATCAAACTAAAAGCATACATTCACGTTCACATAACTACGTACTTAAGCACAATAATCTAGCATACGATGCATCATATCATAAACAAGTCATAACGTAAACACTTCATAGTCATATCGTTCTCTAACTTACCATAACTTTAACGTTCTTATACCTATCACGGACATATCATTATGTAACGTACCTTAGTCATATCATCACCAGAACGTATCCTAACACCATCGTTCTATCAATCTATCACACACCTATCCCATTCTACCCATAACCTAACCGTATTCTTTCATCAATTTCTCCTATCCATAGCACTCCGGTATGTAACCTAAGCTTAACGTTTCATGAACGTATCTTACTCCTATCTTTACATTTCGTTTTGTGCATCCTTCTCGTATCCTATCTCAAACATCTCCTAGAGCCCATCGTACCATAATTATTATCATACAATCCACATATTATAACATAACATAACATATAGGAACCATATCGATCCACAAACAATTCACACATATCAATATATATTGACACGTGCAGAACCACAGGGCACGTGTCAACATAAAAAATAACCATGCCGATAGTAAGCTCACTTACCTGGCCAGCTTAAGTCGTTGTCACGAATATATCTTTAATTAAAGTTCGATTCCGTCCTTTGAAATCCGAGTCAACCTATATGAGCCCATGACATTAGTTTCAGGTTTGAACTCTACAACATTATTTCTCTAATTTACATTGGTCCATTGTTAAAAGTCTGAAATGTTATATATCTATAATTATATTTTTATTAAAAATCTTATTTTTCATACTGTTGTATAAGAAAGTAGATACAGCATTTTCAAGTTAGTCTGGGTTTTACTACTCTCTGTAAACTCTCTGTATTTACCCTTTGTGTTTACCTTTTTCCCACGTATTTAGTTTGTGGTTTTTAATTCCCTAATCTTCCTTTTTTTTATCTGTTTCCTTTTAATTCTGTTGTCATGCCTTCCAAATTTACAGTGATCTCTGTTTCTAAATCTTTCCTTATCTGAGTGTTTCCTACACAAAAGTTTTCATAAATTAAATTAGCAAGAAACAATTTCATAAATTTGGATATACATAAAATAATATGGTCTCGTTGAATAGTTTGACAAGGTGCAACATCTTTGTTTACCTAAATCGTTGTTTTTCGACTTGCAATGGGCCAATAGAGGTACGTCTTGATAATTAAGAATCGTCACCTTCCAATGCGTTCCCGGTGGCATGAGTGCAAAACAAGTGAAAACATTAGAAGTTGATGCAAAAGTAATCAACAAAATCATATAGAGATTATTCATAGCCTTCATTTTTTATTGACTTCCAATTTGTTTGTGTTCGATTTTGGATCCTTTTGAACCATATATATATATAATCATTGCGCTACAACAAATATTAGTTTTTTAACAACTTTTAAAGATAGATTTTTATGTTAAACGCTGTTGGAAGGAAAGCGGAAAAAAGTGAATGGATATTGAGCGTGTTCGTTTGTTAGGTTGCGCTTTATTTAGCATAACATCACTCACAACGACCCAAAAACTTAGATTACGCTCTTTTTCTCTCCAACGCCAATCATAAACTTCTCCCAACTCCATTGCAATCGTGTCCTTCTCAAGTTCCTTCCATTTTTGTGCTCGAATTTATTAACAAAATCGAGACCTTAATATTCGTGTTGACGTCCGTATTTTATTCTTAGATGGCAACTTGGATATTTCATCGACATGCATGCACCTTTTCTTGTTAAAAAATTTCGGATAATTGATAACTCAAATGTGCAATTGTAACGACCCTCAATTTCCACATACTTAGAGTCGCTACTAACGTCTCGTGCTCATCTATAATGCAGAAATATATCTCTTACTGTAACGACCCAAAATTTTCTACTTAATTTAAGGTCGCTACTGTACACGTACCATAAATATTGAATGTGGAAGACTTCATTTAAATTCCATAAAACATAATCTTTATCTAAAAACACAGCCACGGACTTACGTGTTTTGAAAACATCTTTAAAAACGACACAACAAAAGACTAAATAAAATAAATAAGCGTTTAAGTTAAAAACATCCTATTCTAGCCTAAGTCTAAGAAAATAAATACAACTATCCCATGCATGTGTCATGGTCTCGAGTTGCGATGCCGTCGTCAGCCGTAAAGAAATTCCTTGCCTTAACCTGAAAAATGTAGTAGCACATGGCTTGAGTATTTAAAGAAATACTCAGTAAGTGGCCCCACTGTAGGGGGCCATGCAAATGCAAACACAAACAATCCTTATTTAGAGACCTATCTCTATCATCATAGAGGTGGCCTCTAGTCTCGAGAAAAAGAGAGTACATGAATGAACAGAGATGACATTCGAATGAAAGCAATCCAGAGTATAGATGACTGAGAACAGGTTAAAAAGAATTGAAAGTTACTACCTATATCAACGAGGTGCACTTTCCTTTTTGGTGGCTCAACTATAGGAACTC